ACTGCCTATATTGGGAGGTATAAGGATGTTGGTGTTGCCTTAGCCTAAAGGACTTACATGCGCAATCTTTCCATAACTGTAACCTTCTGTAACAACTGCTTGTTATGCATAGTGCCTGCACTTCATGATTGGGTCTCCTTCCAGAAATTCCTATTTTCATTATTGTACTGCACTTAGACTTAACCACAGGGCTTCATATTCAATTACAGGCTCCTTATTAGGTTATAGAAGCTAAAATCTTTTAATTTTGTCTTCAGCCAGACTTGAACTGTTGATCTTGACTGTGGAGGGTATGGGAGCTTAACCGCTAAGCTATGGGACCCACACCCTGTGATCTGGGGTTTGTAGATCCTGTAATTCTGGTTATATTAAGACTAACTTCGGAAGTGTGTAATGTTATATAAATAAATCTAAGTATATATACTTGGATTAGAAGCCTGCTTGAAAATCCTGAGCAGAGTAATACAACTTTTGATAGTGCCACCTGTGAAGATCTTAATCTGTTGAAAAAAACCTGAAGCAGGTAATCTATACAGACAAGAACCTCTAGGTAGGGGGTCTATCAACCCAGTTACCAGTTAATCTGGGCATAAAGTCACATCATGCTAGACTAACTGGATTGGTAGTATAGGAGGACTTGCAAGGGTAGACAAGATAACAGTGAGGTTGTAAAAGGAGGGTACTGAGGTTGTATGAACTTTACAAGGATTGTAAATTAGGTTTAGCTGTAATTTGAGATATAGAAGACTCTAGTAATGATGTCTTGAGGATAATCTGCATGAAATAAGGCAGAGGTTCTAAGGGTATGGGTAAGCATTTAGAACTTTTTGACTAACATCATATAATAGAAATGTTCTAGTGATAACAATAAGGATTGCAGTATAGAGGGTTTAAATAGACAACACCCATAGTTGAGTTGCAGGTATAGCAGCTGGTATAGAACCTATATATAGGTGAACTACTTAAATTAGACACCAAAAGTGTATATGTGGCTAGATGTACTCTCTAATATAAGGTAGCTCCTCTGAGATAATCAGACCGTGAGTTACTGTGTCCTACAATACTGAATAAAAAAGCACTAGTTCCCAAAAGTCTAGTTTAATAATAAAAATATATATATATAGTATAAGAGATATATAGAATATATGACAACTATTAATATAATAAATAAATATAAGATAAGTGTATCTAATTTAGTGCAGTTAATTTTGTTAATAACAAAATTTTATAAAATTGTCAAAAAATATTTAAATTTTTGTAAAATATGCTTTAAAATAGCATTTTATTTAAAAAAAAAGCTAAATCAAAAAAGATTAAATCTTGTTTTATTTAAAAAATTTTTTTGAAAATTTTAATTATTAAAAAATTATTCTAAATTAGTGCACTATAATATAAATTGGCATATTATATAATAAATCTAAATTTTTTTTGTTTAGATAGTTTAGTATCTTTACAATATTGCTTTTTTTTCTTAATTTATTCTTTTTTAATTTTTTTTTGTCTTTATGCATCTTGATTTTGCACTTTTTTTGCCTTATATACTATTTATTTTTGGGCAGCTACTTCTTTCTTATATTGCTTTTTTTTGGCTTTTCTTTCTGCTTTTTCCTTTATTTTTTTCAACTATTGCAGAGATTTTTCATTCATAAATAGCTGAAAAAAAGATGGGGGTTTTTTTTTTTAATTAACTAGAATTTATTTTGCTTTTTAATATTTAGAGTTTTAGTTGCTTATGAATTATAATGTAGAGAATATTTAAGTATTAAATGCAAGAGACTTGTGTCATAATTTTTTAAGATATCAAGTTTTTTTTGTAAATATTCAACTTTTTTATTCAATAATTCAATCTCTAACATTAATTTTTTTTTTATAAGATTTGTTTTAGTAAAGTATATATAACTTAAAGTTGACTTTAAAGAAGGTAAACACAAAAAAAACAAACACAAAGTAGGCAAAGATAAAGAAAGCAAAGATGAAAATAATGAAAATAAAGAAGATAAAAATAAAGAAGATAAAGATAAAGAAGACAAAGATAAAGAAAGTAAAGATGAAGATGATGAAGATAAATAAGTTGGTTGATCAAAAATTTGTAGAATTTTTGTTCATTTTGTAGTTAATAAAAAGGCAAAGCAATTTGAGCTAATAGCATTTAGGTTAAATAGTTATATACTTGTAGTTTTAAAAGCATTATATATTGCAGTAGATATGTAGATTGCAAGATAGGCTGATCTTAATACTTTGGCAAACATGTTCTTAGTTACAAGCTTACTAGCATTTTTAATCTAAAACTTATTATACTTTTTATTATATAATATTTTTAATATAGCTAATAGTAGTTTAGTTAGTTATAAAATGTAAGTAATATAATAAAAAACATATAAAGAAATATGCTATTTTTATAACAAAAGTTAATACTAGTATAGTTGATATAGATTTTATAACTATTTGAAATTAACAAAATAGGTACATAGAAGAATAGATTTGACAAAATGCTTAATATATTTTTGAAATAGGCATTTTTACATATATTTTATCTTAGTAAACCCTATAACAGAACCAGCAAAAGCATTATTTAAAAACCTAAAATTGTTTGTTTTTCTTTAAAAATAAGCAATAATAGGATATATGTTCTAGTAGTCAAAATAGTTAAACATACAGATATATGTTTATACAAACTGCTATATAAAATCTAATAAATTTAATATGCTCTTTTTTTAACTAGAACCTTTTGAAGTCTAAGTTTAGTAATAAATCCAGTCTCATTCTAAAAAAAAAATAAAAAAAAATAAAACAAAAAAAAAAAAGAAGTAAATTAAAAAAAATAAAATAAATAAAATAAAAAAGAAAATTAAAATTAAAAAAAGAAAAAAAAAAAGTAAGAAAAAGTATTATGTTTTATATTCAATCAAAATAAGTAAGTATTCTTGAATGATTTTTTGAAGTTTGTCAAAATAATCTTTAACAACAATAAGATTGACTTTTTGTACATAAGCTTCATTTAGGGTTTATAAAATATGAAATCAAAGCTTTGGATAATCTTTTATAAAGTATTGCTACTATTTTTAACCTGGTTCACTTTTATTAAAAGAATAAGATTACTTATTTTAATGAACAATATCTATCATATATTAATTTATACCAAATTGTGTCTGGTACAAAATAAAATTGAAACTTCAATGACAGGTTTTTCCTTGATGGCATTTATATTGTATAACTGATTTGATTTAATTGAGCATATGTAAATGCCACCCCTGAGAACTATCAAAGAACACCACCAAAACTTTTAATGTAACATGATCAAAAAAAACACTCGGTTTGTCAAAATTCACTTATAACTCAAAAGTTAGCATAGTATAATCACAAGTATTACTTGGTAGATAATTAAAACTATAAATATGTCATAAGAAAGAGACAATTGTTTGTTGTTAACCTAAAGCCAAGCTTTTGCATATTAAAACAGTATTCAACAAACTGTTTTTTTTATGATCTGTTAAAACTTTAGTACAATTTAGAAGAACAAAAGATCTATTATTTTTGATGATACATCTAAAAGTAGTTTCTAAAGATTATAACCTTATGCAATGCTTTTTGTACTTAGGATTTTAGAGTTATTTAAAGAACTTTTAATTGTCTTAAGAATATTAGTAATAATATTGTATCTAGTTTTATAGTTATTATGTTTTGTTATTTTTTTTTAAAAAAAAGAGATGCAATAAACTAATTTATTCTTTATTGTATAGCAATAGTAATACTGATATTTGATTCTTTATTATGCAAAGCTTATGATATTACATATAACAACAATAGCATTAAAGTTATATTATAATTAAATATTTAAAGATTAGTTCTCTAAATTAATTATTTAAATTATAGTTTTTTTTTATTTTATATAAATTGAGCTTAATTGGATTTTGTTTTTGTATATATTATTTTTTGTACAAATATTAATAAAAATAAGATATATAAGACTTAGTTATAATAGAAAATTATAACTAAATCATATTTTAGAAAGGTGATCCAGATTGGAACTATAAAAGCAAATGCAAATAAGTATGCAATAAATATATTAAATAAGTATGATTATTTTTTATAAAAGAAATTTGTTAAAATTATATTAAAATTAGTAGATATATATAGAGCCTATTAATATAACAATTTTAATAAATATATATATTTGCTAATTTGATATAAAATCAATTTTTACAAGGGTATGGCAACCTAGTGAAGTAGTCAGGTTGTTAACCCTCCAAGTGGTAGGTTGGGTGTTCAAATCTTATTAACGGTGAAAATTTGAATAATTACCTATGTAATATTCATATTACAGCAACTGTTACTAACAATTGGGTTAGGATACCTGTAATAGTGGTCGCACCAGCATGACTGGCAGGTCATGGGGCATCTGTATAAGTATGGCATTACACAGAGGAATGCAATCTAACAACTAGGCAGTGCAAACACTAGAAAAGTCCTTGTGGCCATGTAAATCTGTTAAAATTGGGTAACAAGAAATCCATTTGGAAAGATCTGAGTAGAGAGGTAGCCAGATCTTCTATGGCTCTACTGTAAAGACTAGCCTTATAAAACAGATACTAAGATCGAAGTAGCTGGATGGGCAAAAACCTCTAGATGGAAGATATCACCAACCAGACTGCTGAATCGAACCAGAGAAAAAGGGTATTGGGCCAACCTGATATA